AAAGGTGGAAGAACTACAGGCTTCCACCTCAGGGATACAACCTGACCTCGCCACTACAAATCTGTTTCTGTGCTTAGTGTGGTCAGGAACAAAGAGGAAGTGTTAACTATACACAGGACCGTCTTAAGGAATGGGCACACCTGGACAGTGCCGAGATGCCCCATGTGAATGGGGGGGCCCACGATCAGGCCCACAAAGGGGGGGTGCACTGGAGATTAGTCCGCTTGTGCCGCTCTTCCTAGACAGGAGTAATTGCAATGTCAGTCCTGCAAGAAGGAGCAGCTACTGGCTTCTGCTGGAGAGAGAATTCAGCTTTCTCCTCCCTCCTGCAGGGGGCGGAAGAGAGTTGGAACTGAGACTGAGAACTCACCTTCTGGGGAAACCTGATGTATGGGGATACTGTGATGGGGGAACCTGGTGTATGGGGACACCTGATGTAAGGGGACACTGTGATGGAAGGGGGCACCTGATGTATGGGGACACTGTGATGGAAGGGGGCACCTGATGTATGGGGACACTGTGATGGAAGGGGGCACCTGATGTATGGGGACACTGTGATGGAAGGGGGCACCTGATGTATGGGGACACTGTGATGGAAGGGGGCACCTGATGTATGGGGACACTGTGATGGAAGGGGGCACCTGATGTATGGGGACACTGTGATGGAAGGGGGCACCTGATGTATGGGGACACTGTGATGGAAGGGGGCACCTGATGTATGGGGACACTGTGATGGAAGGGGGGCCCCTGACGTAAGGGGACACTGTGATGGAAGGGGGCCCCTGACGTAAGGGGACACTGTGATGGAAGAGGGCACCTGATGGAAGGGGGCACCTGATGTAAGGGGGACACTGTGATGGAAGGGGCACCTGATGTATGGGGGCACCTGATGGAAGGGGACACTGTGATGGAAGGGGGGCACTGTGATGTAAAGGGGGCCCCTGACGTAAGGGGACACTGTGATGGAAGGGGGCACCTGACGTAAGGGGACACTGTGATGTGGGGCAACCCAATGTATGGTATGGGGACACTGTGATGGGGGGGACCTGATGTTTGGGGACACTGTGATGGGGGAGGACCTGATGTGTGGGGATGCTGTGATGGAGGGGACCTGATGTGTGGGGACACTGTGATGGGGGGAGGGGGGCATCTGATGTGTGGGGACATTGCGATGGGGGGGGGGGGGGGCAGACTGATGTGTGGGGACACTGTGATGGGGCACACCTGATGTATGGGGACACTAGATGCAGGCTGTTAGGGGGCCCAGTGCATTACTATGTCTAGAGGCCCATGAGGCTTTTAAGATGCCCATGCTTGTGTCAGGTTACTGGCAGGATCACCAGGAATTGAGCCGTCTACTTCTACATATTTGTTAATTTTCCGAGGTACAAAGGAGTGTAGTCCCTAGTGGAGCCCCATGTATTAGTGCCGGTCTCCGGATCCAGATTTCCATTACACCAGCATGCTCTTGTTCCGGACACATGAATAGTTTTCTATAGAGCACTACACTCACCGGCCACTTTATTAGGTCCTCCTGTTCAATGGCTTGGTAACACAAATTTCTAACCAGCCAATCACATGGCAGCAACTCAATGCATTTAGACATCTAGGGAAATCAAGATTCATCAGACCTGGCAAATTTTTTCCAATCTTCTATTGTCCAATTTTGGTGAGTCAGTGCGAATTGTAGTCTCCGTTTCCTGTTCTCAGCTGACAGGAATGGCACCCTGTGTGGTCTTCTGCTGCTGTAGCCCATCTGCTTCAAGGTTGGTATGCATTCAGTGATTTTTTTTGCATACCTTGGTTGTAACAAGTTATTTGAGTTACTGTTGCCTTTGTATCATCTGGAACCAGTCTGCCCATTCTCCTCTGACCTCAACAGGACATGTTCCTCCACACAACTGTCGCTCACTGAATAGTGTCTCTTTTTTGGACCATTCTCTGCAAACCCTAGAGATGGTTGTTCGTGAAAATCCCAGTAGATCAGAAGTCTTTTAAATACTCCCACCAACCCATCTGACACCAACAACCATGCCACATTCAAAGTCACTTAAATCCCCTTTCTTCCCCATTCTGATGCTCGGTTTGAGCTTCAGCAAATCGTCTTCACCACGTCTAGAAGCCTAAATGCACTGAGTTGCTGCCATGTGATTGGCTGATTAGCAATTTGTGTTGCCAAGCCATTGAACAGGTGGACCCAATAAAGTGGCCGGTGAGTGTATATAGGTGGCAGCACATCTCCTCCATGGCCTCTCCTGGCTGCTGCAGACAAATAATGGATCATCTGACATTACAATACTTGAGTGCAAATCCCCGCCATGATAATGTATAAAGTGAGACCTCCACTTCCGGCATGAAATGGATCTCCCAGAAGACAGGAGGAGGACGGTTCACATGGCTCTCACCTCTAGGTTGGGTAGAGTGATTGTCACCTGCTCTCCTTTACCAACCTCCAGGTCCCCCTCACAGGAGGTGTCAATGGAAGCCGGTTTGAAGTCATCTGGAAGAGAAAAAAAAGAAAAACCTTCAGAATACTTCCAGGAACAGTCTATGGTGCAGAGGAACGAGCCTCGTTCACAGTCTGTATAGCAAGTATAGAGCCAGATTCCGGTGTTGAAGCTGGCCCACCTCCTGTGATTGCCCGCCTCCTGGGATCTGTCCAGCCCTGCCCCCCTGTGATTGCCCGCCTCCTGGGATCTGTCCAGCCCTGCCCCCTGTGATTGTCCGCCTCCTGGGATCTGTCCACCCTGCTCCCCGTGATTGTCCGCCTCCTGGGATCTGTCCGACCCTGCCCCCCCTGTGATTGTCCGCCTCCTGGGATCTGTCCGACCCTTCTCCCTGTGATTGTCCGCCTCCTGGGATCTGTCCGACCCTGCTCCCCGTGATTGTCCGCCTCCTGGGATCTGTCCGACCCTGCCCCCCCTGTGATTGTCCGCCTCCTGGGATCTGTCCGACCCTGCTCCCTGTGATTGTCCGCCTCCTGGGATCTGTCCGACCCTGCTCCCTGTGATTGCCTGCCTTCTGCGATCTGTCCCACCCTGCTCCCTGTGATTGTCCGCCTCCTGGGATCTGTCCAGCCCTGCTCCCCAGTGATTACCTGCCTCCTGGGATCTGCCCAGCCATGCCCCCCTTTGACTGCCCGCCTCCTAATATCTGCCTGGCCCTGCCCCCTGTGATCTGTCCAGTCTTAAGTCCAGTTGCTATGGATTAGATCCCCCATCCCCGCCTATGGGCAGTCTGAGATTGGTTGCTATGGGTTATTGCACTCTAAGCTCCCCTTTCCCAGCTGGAGGTCTGCTACTATGGGTTACTACAACTTAATCCCCATTTATAGGCAGCCGGAGGTGACCTGAAGTTGCATGCTATAAGTTACCAAACTCGGACTCCTCTTCCCCCCTCTATGGGCAGCCTGAAGTGACCTGAGGTTGGTTGCTATGAGTTACCATATCCTAATCCCCTGTATATGGGCAGTCAGGGGCCGGCTGCTATAAGTTACACTCTGATCCTCCCTTCTCCCTGTCAATGGGAAGCCCTATGGGTTACCCCACTCTAATTCTCTTCCCCCCCCGATCTATCAGCAGCCTGATATAATCTGAGGTCAGTTGCTATGGGTTACTACACTTTGATCCCCCTTCTATAGGCAGGTTGAGGTCAGTTGCTATGGGTTACCATATGCCGATCCCCTGTTGCTATGGGTTACTGCATTCTAAGTGGACATTTGATAAGTGGAGTTGAAAACCGGAGTTGGAAAACAGGAGTCTAACGAGAGTCTACTGACCTGTAAGTGGCAACTGATATTTCCTGTTAATATTGTAACTGGGATATGAGGTCTAGTGGGGGGGGAAGATTTTGTGCGGTGCACAGTGTGCCGCATGTATGCAACAATGGAGCAACAGCTCTAGGATGGATACCGCTGCGACAGATGTGAGAGGGTTGCATTTCTGGAAACTCACGTTAAGAGATCTGGAGGAGAAAGTTGCAACACTGGGCAGAACCGACAACCTTGAAAGGGGTCTTCTGCGCTCTGAGCAGGTAGCTAATGGGATTGATGTGGAGGGCGGAGGGGCTAATCAGGTAGGAAGATGGGTTACTGTAACGAGAGGGAGTGGTAGGGGCTCACAGAAAAGGAAGGCCGGTCCTGGGTTTGAGCACCCAAACAGATTTGCCAAGTTGGGTGAAGATGTGGGGGTGGCAAGCTCAGGGGTGGCAGCCCCGAATGTCACTGCTATCCCTAACAGCCGGGAGGGCAGGTCATCTGGGAGGGGTGGTGAGGGTAGTGCAAGAAGGTCTAGACAGATGGTAGTAGTAGGGGATTCTATAATCAGAAGGACTGATAGAATAATTTGTCACCAGGAACACCTCAACCGAATGGTTTGCTGTCACCCTGGTGCCAGGGTTCGGCATGTGGTGGACCGGGTTGATAAATTACTGGGAGGGGCTGGGCATGACCCAGCTGTCTTGGTCCATGTTGGAACCAATGACAGAATACATGGAAGGTGGAGGCTCCTTAAGACTCAATTTAAAGAATTAGGCTGCAAGTTGCAGGGAAGGACCTCCAAGGTGATATTCTCTGAAATAATACCTGTGCCATGCGCAACTCAGGAAAGACGGGGAGATTAGAGAACTCAATGCATGGCTGAAGACCTGGTGTAGGAGGGAAGGATTTGGGTTTCTAGAGCACTGGGCTGACATTTCATTGGGGTGCAACCTATATGCTAGAGATGGTTTGCACCTCGACCTCTCCACGGCCTTCGACACAGTCGACCTCCTCCTTACTAAACTACACTCCCTCGGCATCAGGGACTCCGCTCTCTCCTGGCTCTCCTCTTACCTATCCCAACGCTCCTTCAGCGTTACCTGTAACGCTGCCACCTCCCCCTCACTCCCCCCCTCTCTGTTGGGGTCCCCCAAGGCTCCGTCCTCGGACCCCTTCTCTTCTCCATCTACACCTCCTCCCTCGGCAAACTAATACACTCCCATGGCTTCAACTACCACCTCTATGCAGATGACACACAAATTTACCTCTCCACCCCTCACCTCACCCCCTCACTCACCTCCTAAATGACATATCAGACTGGATGTCGCTCCATTTCCTCAAGTTAAACCTTTCCAAAACCGAGCTCCTGGTTTTCCCCACAGCCCGCGCCCCCCCCCCCCCATCCTCTCCATCACAACTAACAACGCCACCATCAATCCCACACCACACGCCAAAGTCCTAGGTGTCACTCTGGACTCAAACCTTTCCTTCCACCTCATGTCCAATCACTATCAAACTCATGCAGGCTCCTCCTCCGCAACATCTCCAAGATACGTACGTTCCTAACCCCAGACACCACTAAACTACTCGTTCACTCCCCTTATTATCTCACGCCTGGACTACTGCAACTCCCTCCTCACCGGCCTACCTCATCGCAGACTATCCCCGCTCCAGTCCATCCTAAACTCAGCAGCCAGACTCATCCACCTCACCAACCGCTCCTCTTCTGCCACCCCCCTCTGCCAATCCCTTCACTGGCTCCTGATTGCCCAACGCATTAAATTCAAATTACTAACTCTGACATACAAAGCCATTCATAACGCCGCCCCAAACTACCTCACCGACCTGATATCCATCTACCACCCAACCCGTGCCCTTCGCTCCTCACAAGACCTCCTACTCTCTAGCTCCCGGGTCTCCTCCGACTGCAGGACTTCTCCAGGACTTCCCCCATCCTCTGGAACTCACTACCCCAATCCATCAGACTGTCACCTACCCTCCTCACCGTCAGGCGCACCCTGAAAACCCCTCTCTTCAGGGAATCCTACCCCACCCTCACCTAACAGCCATTCTCCCCCACTCCTCCTACCACTCCATCCCCCCCACAGCCACTTCCTCCTGTACCTCTACCTCCTCCCTCCTAGATTGTAAGCTCGAAAGAGCAGGGCCCTCGAACCCCTCGTGTATTACATTGTTACTGTATTGTCTCATGTTCTGTCCCCCACTTTAATGTACAGCGCTGAGCAAACCTTTTGGCGCTATATAAATACTGTATAATAATAATAATAAAATGGAAGGGGGTCTGCTGTGCTGGGGGAGAGGTTTAAGGGAAGGCTGGAGGAGTATATAAACTAGGATGGAGGGGGAGAGAAAATTAAAATATAATGGGGTAGACAGATCAGACAGGGGTAAGTATTTATTGGTGGGTGGAATGGGGAAAGATGGGGGAAGGCTATGGCAGATGATAAGAAGGTTCAGGTTCCCATGTTACACAACAACCACTAGAATTGGTACCATTTGTACGAAAATAAAAAATATGCTAAATACTTGTGAACAAGGTGTCGGTGAATGAACAAGGTGTCAGTGAATTAATGTATGTTTTGTTCACCAATGCTAGAAGTCTGCCAAGCAAAATAGGTGAGTTGGAAGGTTTGGTGCATGAAGAGAACTAGGATTGAATTGGTATTGCTGAATCTTGGCTTCATTCTTCACATGACTGGGCCATTCATATTCCTGGCTAGGTTCTCTTTCGGAGAGACGGGGGGAATAGGAAAGGTGGTGGTGTCTGTCTCTATGTGAGAAGTGATCTCAGAGTGAGTGTGAAAGAGGACCTAGTTGATGGAGAGTGTGATGAGGCTGAAGTATTATGGGTGGAACTGCACATGGGGGGCGGTACTACAAAGGTAATCATTGGAGTTTGTCATAGGCCTCCCAATGTTAATGAGGAGTCGGAAACTCTGCTCCTTTCACAGATGGAAAGGGCTGCAAGGGCTGGGACAGTGATAATAATGGGGGATTTTAACTATGCGGAAATTACTGGAGTAATGGTACTGCAGGAACAGTTAAAGGGCAAACATTTTTTAAACCTACTACAGGACAATTTTATGGTACAGTTCATAGAGGCCCCTACTAGGAATGATGCTCTGCTGGACCTGGTAATCTCAAACCATGCAGAGCTTATTATGAATGTCCATATAAAAGAACATCTGGGTAGCAGTGACCATAACATGATTTAATTTATTGTTAGCTGTAAACAGCGAGCACATACGGGAAAAAAAAAACGCTCAATTTTTAAAGAGAGCTAATTTTCCAAGACTGAGAGCTGTTCTCCAAGACTTAGACTGGGAGGGAATATTGGCATTGATGAACACAACACAGAAATGGGAGTTCTTCAAAAGACTGTATGTGAACACACTGCAAAATATATTCCCATGGGCAACAAGTATAAAAGGCTAAAAATCAAACCTATGTGGCTTATGGCCAAAGTTATCAAAAAGCTATAGATAATAAGAAAAGAGCTTTTATTAAATATAAAAATGAAGGAACGCGATCATCGTTTAAACATTACAAAGAATAGCAGAATATGCAAAAAGGAAATAAAATAGAAAAAATGAACGACAGATTGCAAAAGATAGCAGGACCAACCCCCAAAAATTCTTCAAATATATTAATAGTAGAAAGGTCCGGTCCCAGCATGTAGGCCCTTTACAGAACCATCTAGAGTGGGTGACTGGGGACAAAGA